ATCAGTGTTTTATTTATTAACCAATCAGAGCAACACATCTGACATACAGAACATCCCACAGCAGATGAAGGCATTGTATTTTAGATGAATCTTTTGGGGCTGGCTCACCACCGTCAGTTGCTCTCTGCATTTTGACCTGTAGTGGATCTCTGTAGTAGCCTCCATCTGATGCAAAAAGAAGCTTCTTTGATGAGGGGTGAGAGCTGCACTTATCTGTGGGTAGAAGGATGAGTATTTAGAAAGCCTTTAGGAATTATGCTGGTTCAGTAAAGTATTGGTTGTAGGTTCTCTTCTAAGATCCATGGTCTCGCTAGCTATGTGTGGTTGGCTAGGTTTACAAAAGAAAGCATGTGATTTCCCTCCTGTTGATAAGGCCTTGTGGCCAATTAGACAGCTGTTGGTTATTGCCAAGATATGAGTGCCACTATTTTACCCTTAGGAATATCTTATCTTGCTGGTCATTATTAGGGTTCATCAGCACACAGCTGGGTAGGACTATTGCTTGCTTTTTATTTTTGCAGTTTTCATACAACCTTCTGGTACTAAGAAAGCTAGTCTCAGAGATAAGGCTTTAGGATCTGTTCCAGCTCAAATGCCCTGAGTTCTGCATCTAAATTGTGTGGTGTCTTCAGCAATAGGGTCTGGCCTGAAACTTCTGGGAGGCAACCAGGACAACAGAAACACTCTGTATTGCTCTAGGAGTTTTGTAAGAAGGTTTCTCTTGGTTGGTACTAGAACTTTTTAAAAATTATTTCTTTTATTTTTTGAGATTAATATAATTATATCACTTTCCCCTTTCCTTTCATCCTTCCAAAACCTCACATTTACCCCTTGTGCTGGCTAGTTTTATGTCAACTTGACACAAGCTAGAGTCGTCTGAGAGAAGGGAGCCTCAATTGAGAAAATCAGATCCATAAGATCCTCCATAAGATCAGGTTGCAGGCAAGCCTGTAGGGCATTTTCTTAATTAATGATTAATGTGGGAGGGCCCAATCCATTGTGTGTAGTGCCACCCCTGAGCTGGTGGTCTTGGGTTCTATGTGAAAGCAGGCCTAGCAAGCCAGGAGGGCAAGCCAGTAAGCAGTACTCTTCCATGACTTCTTCATCAGCTCCTGCCTGCAGGTTCTTGTCTTGTTTGAGTTCCTGTCCTGGCTTCCTTCAGCGATGAACAGTGATGTGAAAATGTAAGTCAATAAATCCTTTCCTCCCCACGTTGCTCTGGTCATGGTGTTTCAACACAGCAATAGAAACAAAGGCATCCCTTCTAGATCTTTTACAAATTCATGACCTCTTTGTTCATTAATTGTAACATTCATATTCCTAAGTACCTAAGTGCAACCTGTAGTGGGTAGCCATTCCAGCTTGGATCTGGAAGTTCCAACCCCCATTGAGACTCTGGCAACTGTCACGCCTACGAGGCGGGGCCAAGGGAGGCACCTGGAGACCCGAGACCTGGATGGGCGAGCACTCTCTCTGTTCCTGGACCCTAGATGGTGGAGGTTGACTGAGCAGAGCTCCAGAGAACACGGCTGGACTGCGATACACCTTCCCCAGACCCCCGCAATCTACCTATTCCTTCATTTGTAAGTCACCCACTAAATAAATCTTCCTTTTAAATACGTGGAGTGACCTTAATAATTTCACCAATAGCAACCTGTTTGCTCTGTAATGTTACTTGTATGTATATTTTCAGGGCTGACCCTTCAGTATCAGATAACCAATCAGTGAGCTCTTCCTGGGGAAGACTGTTTCTCCCACTCTTCAGCATTCCTTAGATACCTGTAATTCGCTGTGGAGGATGGAGACCTCCTGCCCGCTGCCACCTCCCCATCCACCACTCCCATCCAAGTTGGCATGTCTACTGTTGTTATCTTTGTTCAGCTCATGTTTACTGCTGGTGAGACGTTGTGGATGTAGCTTCTGACATTGCTAGGAGACACAATCTCACCGCAAATTCCCTATTCCTCTGGCTCTTACAAATTTTCCAGCCCCTGATCTGCAATGACTCCAGAGCCTTCTGTGCAGGAGTTGTGTTGTAGATGTTTCCACTGGGACAGGGTTCCACAACTTTGCATTTTGATAATTTGTGGTTGGTAGAGGGAAGTTTCTCTGGTCCTGCCTAGCCCCATAGCCCGAATGAATCTCTCCCACCTGAGCTCTCACATCTACTTATAAAATAATCACTCAGAGGCTTATATTAATTACAAACTGTATGTCCTATGGCTTCAACTTCTTGCTAGCTAGCTCTTTCATCTTAAATTAACCCATTCCTATTCATCTATATGTTGCTATGTAGCCATGGGGTTACTGGTCTGTTGGCATCTTGTTGCTCCTTGGGTGACAGGCTGGCATCTCTTCTGATTACCCTCTTCTTTTCTCTGTATCTCTGTTCGGATTTCCCACCTAGCTGTAAGCTTTCTTGCCATAGGCCAAAACAGCTTTATTTATAATCCAGTGGGAGCCAAAAATATTCACAGCATACAGGAAGACATCCCACAGAAGTGATTTTCTGTAATGGTCTGTCTGTTGCAAAGAGAAGTTTTCTTGATGAAGGTGCTGGGATCTTTTGTGAGTGATATTATCATCCCAAGTGGTGTGTGTGTGTGTGTGTGTGTGTGTGTGTGTGTGTGTGTGTGTGTGTGTAAAATATGTAATTTTAGGTAAATATAAAACAATGATCCTCTATGTCTTTTAAAAGCATCATTAGTTATTTCTCCTCCTCATTTCCTCTCCTTGGTATTGTCTTCCTTCCACCCTTCCTAGTTAAAGGCCCCTCCCCATATTTTTCCCACTTTCTCCTTCATATCACCTGTATCCTTAGCACACAATATTCTCAAATCTGAACTGGGGATTCCAGGCAGTTTTCACTGGTCTTGTATGGTATGATGACACACGCAGTGGGAGGTGAATAAGGTACCTGTTTAGAGCCAAGGCTGCAGTGAAGCTGTGTGGTACAACATGGGTGAGCCCTGTCAACATGGAATCATTTCCCATTTGATTCTGAATGGACTTTGGTTGTTGCACATGCAGACACTTTTCATGTTTCCAAATGTTTGGTGATCCTCATGTGCAGCTCCACAACCCTACGTGGGGGCAGTGATCCACTTTATTTATTATTTACTTATTTATTTACTATATAGAAGGACTTTATCATAAATGTATTTCTTGTTACATTGGGTAGAAGCTCTAGAGGCCCAGATGCTCCAGGCTGAAGTGGAGAGTGATTGTACGAGACTGTATCCTGAGACTCTCTCCAGATAGCACCAGAACTGAATTAGAGATCACCCTGCAGCCCGATGCTTTGACAGTTTTCACCCCACAGAATGAGTTTAGGGGGGTCCTTTCTTCCCAGTGGAGTGAGACTCCTCACTGGTCCTGAATTCCTGGAAATGCATTTCTTTATGGTCACCTGACCTCAGCTACGCTGGAAAGAGTCTTAAAAGGGAGAGGGAAATTGTGCCCAAAGCAGAGAGCACTAATCTCAAGAGTTACTTTAAAATACATTTACTAACAAAACAAATGAAAAACTCTGGACCAGAGATGGCTCAGCAGGTAAAGGTGCTTGCTGAGCTCGATTGCTGGTAGAAGGGGAGACGTGACTCTTGCATGTTGTTCTCTGACCTCCACACATGTACTGTGGAATGTGCCCCTTCCAGAAAATAAATAACGTAGAAAAAAATTTTAATACAACAACATATGGTTGTCTTACTGCTCTGTCATCCTAGCTATACTGTCCGGTCTGATTGATTGCAGTGGCTGCCTCATGAGGCTGTGCAGGGACACAGTGCTGTGATCAATTAGCTATGCCTGGCAGGATCATTGGCAGCCTGCTTGGGTTTTTTGTTTTGTTTTGTTTTGCTTCTTGTTTATTTTGTTCTCTAAGGCAATTAGCAGTGACTCTCCTCCCAAAAGTGACTGTGATTTTTGTAAAGCAAGCAATGTAAAGGAGAAGAGGGAGGTATTTCCTAGTCTAAGGAGGGGATTGGATGGAGTGGGGACCTGCAGATAAAAACACTGATATAGATGAGAGGAAAAATGAAGCCATAACTGAGTAACGAAGCAAGACAGAGAGTTGACTTTGAAACTTAGCCAGAGTTCTGTAGTTGCAAATAACCCTGGATGAAATCTGTACCTGGGACCCTTGTAGACATGGCTGCCAGTTCGGGCCTGGTGCATGGCTACATCCTCTGAGCAGAGTGACATCACCTCAGAGAACAGTGGATTTAGGAGCTTTCTGGCCTGAGTCTGCCTGAGACACGTGGTCTGAAAGGCAAGGCAGTTTCTTACTTTCCTCTGTGCCTAGTCCCTTTTGACCTGGCTACAAGAAGTGCCCCCAAGAAGCTCAGATTGGGACCGGCAATGAGCAATGTCTCCCAACTGATGTGAGGATGAGTCAAAGCTCTCTGGAGCATAGGATATATGCAAGGCTTATGGAAACCCAGGGCAGCAATTCCAGCTGGTGGCCACAGGAAGGCATCATAATGAGTGATGAAAATACCAAGTGACAGCCATTGAAGTCTCAATGGTATGAGCTCTCCACATAGAGCCAGGCTGGAAGTCAAAGGCTGCCTGTACATATGTTAACTTGAGAATATTCTGGACAATGTCTTACTTCATCTTTGCATTTTTTTGTATGTAAAAAAAAGGGCTGGCACAGTCCCTGACTCTGGATATAGTAATATATGTGATATTCACATAATTCTTGAGTATCAATGCATTTTACCAAGTTGGATGCACGTATGTTGAGCTTCAGGCATCACAGTTCTTTGGTGTGGATTAGAAGTTAGTTCTTCAGTTCTAGTTCTTTAACCAAACCATCCCTGTGAGTGGGGAAGAGATTAACTTCAGCTGGAGAGACAGAATGTGAATCAAAGGTTTGTAGGACTTGGGACAAAGTGTCAGAGGAAGCAGGAAGATGTACTTGGCAAGAACTCCTCCCCCTCCACACACATACAGCACCCAGGGGCCTAAACAATAAAACACAGGATGGAAGGCCAACTATTCACTATCTAGGATTAAAAATCCTCACCCAGGGCTGGCGAGATGGCTCAACGGGTGAGATATTTGCTGTGCAATGTCTAGCAACTGCATTCAGTCCTTGGAACCAACATCAAAGGTGGAAAGAGCACCAATTCCACAAAGCTGTCTTTTGACTTCCCCATGCCCACACCACACCACATCTCACACACACACCACCACCACCACTACCACCACCACCACCACCACCATCATACTACTACTACTACAATAATAATAATAATAGTAATAGTAATGTTAAAACAAATTCTTTAGCCAGGGACGGCTTGTGCCACGACTCCTGCTGGCTGTGCATTCGACTATGTGTAACTTCTATGGCTTTTCAGGCTCTCTGGAAGAGTCCTTTAATTGGCTTCAGCTGCAAAACTGCAAAGATAAAGGCTGGGAGCCTTGTGCTGACTGTCCCAGGGCTCAGGCTGTGCGAAACATTCCTGAGTTTCACGGTGAGCTCTTGATTTACAATTACACCATGATGGATTACCTGGAGACTCAACCTTCAGGCAACTGTGATTAACTTGACCAAAGACATCTGGGAGAGCCATCCGATGTCTGGAATTATGATCTTAGTAAGCTACCCTGAAACTAGACACCGCTGAACTGCCTTCCTGCAAGACGCAGCACAGGGCCTCTGTAGGCTAACCCAGTAGCCTGTCTCTCTCTCTCTCTCTCTCTCTCTCTCTCTCTCTCTCTCTCTCTCTCTCTCCTTTTTTCTTAGAGCCTGTTAACAAACAAACAAACACAAACCCACCAAACAAAATCAACAGAGGAAGAGCACAGCTGTCTCAGGGACGACCCACAAAAAGACACTAGACTCCCCAGCTCTGCTTTTAGAGAGCAGCCTTCCTCTTGCTGGAGTCCAGGGAGAAGGGCAATTAATGCCTCCGTGATTAGCAACTGCTGAGTAAGGACTGCCAGAGCCATGGACTAAATATAAAACTGGATGCTGAACACTCATATGCTCACAATTAGCTGGACTCTGTTGCTGGATACAGTGAAACCGGGAGGTGTTTGGGGGAGGTGCTTTTCTGTGACTATTATCAACAGTGAATAAAGGTCAAAATGGCAGGCAGGGAAGCCATACAGGTGCTAACACCCTAGAATGTCAGCGTGAGGCAGCCCCCTCTGTTCTTGGAGCCTTGGGAACGTCCCAGCGTGTTTGGTGCTGTGCAGTTAATGATCCAACAACAGCCACAGAAGTTGGACTTGGAAAGACACTAAAGACATTTCAAAAAATTTAATAAGTCCCTGCCCTTCCAAGGAGCCTTTCAGGAGACTGTTTGGGCTTTAAAAAAAAAAAAAATAGAAAAAAAAACCATTTGGAGACACGCCCTCTCCTTCCTACCCCTCCCACCAACACACTGGTCTCTAATCTGGGTCAGTTGTTCTAAAGGGTTTGAAATGACTAACGGGGCCTTTGGGCCTCCAAACCCGTGGCACTAAGGACAAGGAAGGAGACTGCAGAGCGTGTGGCCATTGACCCTTACTTGCAGGAGACAGGTTGACAATTCATGTTTGTTTCATACTTGGGGGTTCTCAAAGACAAGGCAAACAAGTGAAGTAGAAATGTCTGGGCTTATAAAATCAGTCAGCATCAAAACCAGCAGGGATGGGGAAGCAGGCAGAGAGAAAACCTTCTTCCAGGAAAGAATGAACGCTTTCCCCTTCTGAAAGACTCATCCTCCCAGAAGAGTATCAACATAAATTAAGGGATTATGTTGAACTCCGAAGCACAGTGGAAGGTATTAAATGGCTTTGTAAACACTGAAAATTTTACTAGAGTTTAAAACTTTCAAATGAACTGGAAGCCTCTTCCTTTAATGGGAAAGAACAAATGAGCACAGATGCATAGGCGTCCAGACGGCACAGCCAGCCCACCTTTGCAGACATTTTCACCCAGGAGTAGTTATTTTGTTTTTCATTGTGCGACAAAGCAGTCGGCAGAGGAAGACGCTTGTTTTGGGTCGTGGGATAAGAAGGGACTCGACTCATTACAGAGGAGAAGGTGAGAGGGAACATAAGGTGGCTGGTCACACAAGGCCACAGGAAGCACACACAACTGAGCTGGTGCCCAGTTCACTGTTTCCTTTCTGTTCAGCTGGGACCCCAGCCCATGGGATGGTGCCACTCATGTAGAGGGTGGGCTCTGTCTTCAGCTAAAGCTTTCTGGAAAAAAGACACACAGAGATGTATTTTCAGGGTGAGAGATCCAGTCAAGCTGACAATGAAGAGCAGCCATCATGTGAGGAGGGATTAAAGAGTGCAGAGCTACTGTGGGGTGGGGACCTTGACCTTTCACTCTGTGTTTGCTGTCCTGTTTCCACGTCTGCGGTTGCCAGTGCCTCTCCTGACTCTGGGACTTTTTTCCCCTGCAGAAGTCTCTAGAAGTCCATCCTCTCTGTTTCTGCCTTCCACTGCAGGCTTTGTTAGTTTATTAGTTGGATTCCGCTGGTGAACTGGGTAGGGGAGAAGGAAAGGGAGATGGGAATGGAAGATAAGAGTGATGGTGAGGTACCAGTGTTCTTCAAGCAGATGAAAAAAGAGCCCCTGGAGCTCATAAAAGTACCACCGAAGACAGCATGTCTCCCTGACGGTCGTTTGGTGTACCATAACAATCTCTTTCCACCACCACAGCCTGAGCAGTTCTCCTTAGAGATGTTTGAGAAGAAAATACACACTTGTATGTTCGTTGATTTTTCATGATTATAATGAAATGCATGAGGCTGGATAATGTTCACTGCTGGTGAGGAACTCATGGTGGAGCATCATGGTAAAACTAAACATAGGAGGCAGAGATCACAGGGTGGCACAGGAAAGTGAGGAGGATCAGGGCTTGTGCTTTGTAACAATTCTCTCTCAAGGATTAATCAGTATTGCACTGGAACTGGATCAACTCCTTGTGAATGATACTCTGGTAACCCAGCCACTTGGTCACAGAAGTGAAAGGTCCCATTACCTCTAACTGGGAGACAAACCTCCAAGAGATGAACCCTTAATGTCCATATTCAGAGCATATCCAAACCACAGCATGATGGAATTCTGAACATTTTTAATAAACAAGTCAGCTGGGGACTTATAGTCTGGACCCTTATAAGTGTCTGTAGTTTGTAAAGAGTATCTCAGAACAAAAGAGTTTCTGCAAATACAAAACCTGCATGGCTCCTCTTGTGCTTTCAGAATGAAGATGTCATACACCAATGAATGTCAACTTGAGTCCAACTCAAAATTTTAAAATGTGTTTACCTTAATGCATGCATCTGTGTTCAAAGAATAATTTTATTTCTCTTAAGTTGGCCATTTCCTTTTCTTCTGGGTGTGATCTTGGAATCCATGAGGGGAAAAAAGGAAGCAGGAAGTGCCTTCTATAGTGGCCTCCTGTGGCCATACGTTAATACTCTACCCCATCTCTAATTCCCCAGAATGCATTGAGGAGCAACAGAAAAGACCCAGAGTCCATATGCTTCCTCTGTGTCATCAAAAGTAGCTCTGGGCTCAGGAGGTAGGTTCTTTGACAAAGTGCCTGCCATGTAAGCATGAGGACCAGATTCCCAGCATCCACACAAAAAGTCACACTTGGCAGGGTGTGTCTGTTAATCCCAATATAGTGGAAGGAGAAGCAGGTCGCTGAAACTCATTGGCTTGTCAGCCTAGTTAACTTAAAAAAATAATTAAAGTAAGCCGGGCGTTGGTGGCGCACGCCTTTAATCCCAGCACTCGGGAGGCAGAGCCAGGAGGATCTCTATGAGTTCGAGGCCAGCCTGGGCTACCAAGTGAGCTCCAGGAAAGGCACAAAGCTACACAGAGAAACCCTGTCTCGAAAAAAAAAAATAAATAAAATAATTAAAGCATTTAATTTGGTGCCTATGGTTCTGGAGTGTTAGAGTCCATGGCCATCATGGCAGGAAGCATGGCATCAGGCAGGCAGGCACTGCAGCAGTAGCTGAAAACCTACATCTCAGTCCACAGCATGAGGCAGAGAGATAGTCTCTAGGAATGGTGTGGGCTTTTTAAACCTCAAAGCCTGCCTAGTGACACACTTCCTCCAACAAAGCCACACCTCCTAATCCTTCCCAAACAGTTCCACTAACTAGGGACCAAGTGCTCATATATATGAGCCTATAGGTGTTGGAGTCCCTGCAAGTGTCACAGGCAGCAGAGAAATGATCTGCGTAACATGAAGCATAAAACTCTGGTCAGCACCACTTTAGCAGGCGCTGGGTCAAAACTTCCAGAGTCTGACCTCAGGTCTACTTTTCTTACACATGTGAGTATGGTAAAACTTTGGGGAAAAGTTTCCATGTGACAATTATCACAGCAAAGCTTCAGGGATGGCTACATTGAAACTTCCTTGTAAAATACACCTCTATAGCAAAGCACCTATGACTTTACAATACGAACGAGTTCTATCAACTGACAAACAGTGCTGACCACTTGGTATGGAATAACCAATTGGGTTCATCCCCGGGAAAGACTGATTCTCCCTCTTTCTTTCTTTCTTTCTTTCTTTCTTTCTTTCTTTCTTTCTTTCTTTCTTTCTTTCTTTCTTTCTTTCTTTCTTTTCTTTTCTTTTCTTTTCTTTTTTTTTGTTGTTGTTGTTGTTTTGTTTTTCGAGACAGGGTTTCTTTGTGTAGCTTTGCACCTTTCCTGGAACTCACTTTGG